AATTCAAACCAACATTTCTGACATGACATCCAAAGAATAGCTAATTATAGCATCTTTAAGCTTCAAACAGAAAATTCTTTTATATTTTGAATAATTAACAAGTATACAAATATGTATTGATCATCTGTCAATAAATGGCTATAAGAAAAAAATACACCTCTAGACACAGAAAACTATGGTGAAGAAGACCTGGCACTGAGTGGAAAAGCAAGTCTGATTAGAGCAATAAGCAAATTGCTTTGTGGGAGTGGGTCATTTTATGAGGTACAAGTGTAACTGTTCTTAATATTATGTTAATAGAAGCTGAAGTTATGGATCTAATCCAAAAATGGGCCAACGGCCAACTCTTTGTTTCATGGTCACAGAAATGGACTCTCAATTTAGCTTGCATTCTTATTGATTCTAAAGGGAACAAGGTGAAAAATTGGTTGAGTAAACTCAAAGCCTCCATTCCTATTTAAAAAGCACCTGTCCTAGTGTTTAATAGTGTCATCTTCATGTTTAAAATAATACTGTTCAATATTCTAGAGACCATTTCCTAGGTCCTTTTAAACTTTGTGAGCACTAGACTGCATTTGAGTTTTCCATATCATTTTCTAATTAAACATTTCATGAAATATATCCTTTATGACTTTATGACACTTCAACAACTCAACTAAAACACTGTCTACTCTATGCAAAGTACTATGCTAAGTGCTGAGGATGCAAAGAAAAACAAAACAATTTCTGCCCTCAAGAAACTTACATTCTACTTAGGGGATACATAGATAACACATAGTATATACTAAAGAATACAGAGCCATTTCAAAAGGGAAAGACCACAAACAACTGGGGAGATCAAAAAACATTTCATGTTGGAAATGGCATCTAAGCTATGGATTTCAAGGAGTGAAGAGGGAGCATATTTCAAACACAAGGAACCACATATGCAAAAGCATATGCACAGAAGATGGAATGTTAAAGGGAATAAATAGTTAGCAAGTCAGTTTGACTAGCGGAGAAATGTGCAATAAGACTGGCTGAGGATTTTGCATTTTATCCTAGAGGTGAAAGGGAAATACTGACAATTTTTGAGCAGGGGGATGGTAAAATAGTTACCTTTCTGAGTTAACCCTTACTACCCATAAAAGAAAAACCAATTAGATGAAGCATGCCTATTGTCTAGGCTCTGCCAAACAGTTGGAGAACCTCCAGAACTCATCCATGAGTATTTGTATCTTGGACAGACATTGCAAAGAGGCAATAAGTTGGACCCAAAATTGAATAGGAGGAAGGCAAAGTTCTTTTAATGACCCCAAGCATCTCACTGAAACTAAGTCCCACCTTTTTTAACATCATTATTTTAATAGTCATAGAACACTGGAAAGAAGAAAATCAATATCTGAGACCAATGTGAATATTGTAGTATTGAGAAACTAGGCATTATGGGTCAGTAGTTACTGCTGTCCTCTTGAACACCTTTTTTTCAGTAACAATATTTTTTAAACTTTTCCCTGTTTCCCTTTAACATTCCCTATTATCTTTCTAGCAGATAAGTGGCACAGTGGATAAAGTGCTGAGCCTAGAATCAGGAAGACTTGAGTTCAAATCTGGCCTCAGATACTTACTAACTGATTGACCCTAGCAGGTCACTTAAATGTTGCCTGCCTCAGTTTTCCCAATAGTAAAATGGGATAATAATAGCAACTAACCTTAGGATTGTTGTAAGGATTCAATGAGATAATATTTTTAAAGTGTTTAGTACAGGCACATAGTAGGCACTTAACAAATCACTTCTTCCTTCCTTTTTTCCTTCTTTCTTTCTTCCCTTCTTCCCTATCATTGAACTAACTTATGAAATATTTCATCAATGTTTTCAAAACTGTGACATCTTCAATACACATTTCTATGTATACTTGATTTGTACCAATGGCTCTTCCCAATTTCAATTTCTTAAATGTTTGAGGCCAAATCACCAGGTTTCATTGTCATCATTTCAAACAAAATGATAAAATTATTTTGGAGGAACTCAAAATGTGTTCAAATTTCTTTGTTGGCCTCATACCTAGAATTCTACTCTAGGTTTCAAAAGAGATAGCATCATCTCTTAAGACTGATGTAGAGCACTAGCCAAAACTGAGCTACTCTTTCCCTCAGACCAAAAACATACCCAACTTCTTCATCCTTAAAAAATCCTCACTTGATCTGACTGACCTCACTATTCTCCTATATCTCTCTTCCTTTTCTCAGGTAAACTCTCTAAGCCATCAATACAAGGTGTATCTACTTTTCCCTTTCTCACTCTCTTCTAAATCCTCTGCAACCTGGCTTTGGACCTTATCATTTAACTGAAACTGCTCTCTCCAAAATCCCCAAGGATCTCTTAACTGTCAAATCTAAAGGTCGTTTCTCAATACTCATTCTGCATTACATTGCTACCATATTTGACACTGTTGATCACCACTTCCTTGATACTTAAAACTTTCTAGGTTTTTGTGACACTATTCTCTCCTGGTTCTCTTCCTATCCCCTACTTCTCAACCTCTTTCGCTGCATGTTAATTCATACATACCCAAGAACCATAAGCGTCCCTCAAGTCTCTGGCCTCTGCTCATTTCTCTATACCAGGGGGTCTTAAGCTTTTTTTGTGTCATTTTACCTCCTTTGGCAATCTGAGGAAGGCTACAGACCTCTTCGCAGAATAATGTTTTGGGTTTTTTTCTTCAGCCAGGCAATTGGGGTTAAGTGACTTGCCCAGGTCACACAGCTAGCGAGTATCATGTGTCTGAGACCGGATTTGAACTCAGGTCCTCCTGACTCCAGGGCTGGTGCTCTATCCATTGTGCCACCTGGCTGCTCCAGAATAACATTTTAAATGCAAATTATATTAAGATACTGTTATCAAAATATTTTTCAAAAACAAGTTCACAAACCCCAGGTAAAGAATCTCTAAGCTATATACTCTCACCTGGCAATCTCATCAGTTCAATTACCATTGCTATACAAATGATTCCTAGATCTATATGCTCAGCCCTAGTTGCTTTCCTGAGCTCCAGTCCTACATCTCCAACCGCTTCCTGGACAACTTGAACTGCATCATGCCCCAAATGAAACTCATTATCTTTTCCCCAAGAACCCTTGTGAACTTACATATGACTCTTCAGGGAGCCACCATCCTCCTGGTTACCCAGACCTACAACCTAGGTATCATCTTTGACTTCTCACATTCACCCACATATCTAATCCACTGTCATATCTTACTGTTTCTACTTTCTAAATACCTCTTGTATTATGTCCCCTTCTCTCCACTCACACAACCTTCACCCTAGGTCAAGCCCTCATCATCTCATGCCTAGACTATTACAAGAGCCTTCTGGGGGTCTTTGCCTCATGTCTCTCTCCATTCCTCATACAGTCTTTACTCAGCTGCCAAAGTGATTTTCCTAAAGTATAGGTCTGACCATGTCACTCCCAATAAATTCCAGTGCTCCCTATTAATTCCAGGATCAAATATAAACTCCTCTTTGGCATTTAAAGCTCTTAATAATCAGGACCCTTCCTACCTTTCTAATCTTCTTACACTTTACTCTTTTCCCATCCTCCATCTTTAACACACTCTATATTTCACCTGCATACTGGCCTACTCATCTCCTCATATATGACACTCCATTTCCAATTTCTGTGTCTTTGTACTGACTGTTCCCATTCCAAAAACTGTTCTGTCTTCTTACCTCTGCCTCTTAGTTTCCCAGGCTTCCTTCAAGACTATATCTAAAGTCTACCTTCTGCAAGAGGCCTTTCCCAGGCAAAGATTTTCCTCTCTGAAATTACTTTCCATCTAATCTTATATATATCTTTTACACATACCGAGTAATTTTTGAATTTGTATCCATTATAATATGAATTCCTTGAGGGCAAAAAGAGTGTTTTTAGCCTTTCTGTATATCCTCAGTGATTAACACAGTGCCTGACACACAATGCTTAATTAATGCTCTTTTTGATTGACACTGTATTTGTTTCACACTAGAATGAGAGATCAGAGATGTACAGCCTAAACTGTATATTGGTAAACCAAAGATATTAAAAGAACAATGCACTGGATAGATCCTCCATGGGAGCTTTATAAGAAAACTTAAGTAATAATCCCACAAGATGAGAAGTCATAGAGGAGTTATAATTGTTATCAAAGCAGTGAGTCCCAAGACAGATGTAACTGAAGATCCGTATACTACCTCTGGTTTGCTGAAGATCATTACATGAATTTGGTTTTAAAAATAAATATAATAAATGGAGCTCAGTCACTTAAGAGAATTAAGTTAATTCTTGCTAGTAAGTTCAAATAGTTGTGAATAATTCCCCACGCTTTTTACTAAAAATGTAAGCATTATATATCCAATATTTATTAAGGAAAAAAGAGAAACCAGAATACTTTGAAATAACATTTCCTTTTTTAAAATTATTATGAAACATCCTTTAAAATTGTAATCAGTTCTTAGCCTATAGTATTTAGCATGTAGTATTTATTAAGAATGATTGTCACCAATTAACCTTTCCTAGACCAGCTGCCAGCTCTACTTACCTTCAGATATTCATGAACTGATTATTCATCTTCAGTTTTCTTCTTTTCCTTCCTTTAGGGAAATATACATTTTCCTGATCTTAATATTCTAATACTTCAAGCATATAGTAGTAACAGAAAAAAAATTTCATGATAACTGCCAAATTAAAATTCAGAGAAGAGTTACATATAAATTTATTTAGGGCTATATGAAAGGATGTCCTTAATAAAATTTAAATGACTTAAAAGAAAATAATTCCAATTGAACCAGAAATAAGGACAACAGTCACAGATTGTTCAAGGCCTTCATTTGTTAAGTACTATGGAAAATACGGGATTCAGCTTTCCCTTCATATAAGAAATATGTAGAACATTATATCAAGTTCATTTAAATTTTCACTGTGGATATTTAATTATAAAATAACATCTCTCAAATTCTCTTGCAGAACTTGTAATCTTTTACCTGTAATGGCCCCAAAATGGAGCTTGTCGTATACATAAAAAAGAGGCGGAGGTAACTCAGAACATTAGCAAAAGCAAAAAGACCTTCTGCCACTAACGTAGGATGAAATGCGTCCCAATCCTTTCGATCAGCTGAGTCATGAAACTGGAGTTAAGAAGAAAAAAAGTCAAAAGCAGAGCCCACTATTTTGTTAAACAAAAGTGAACATGTTGACTGTTCAAAGCCAATCCAGAAAGTATATAATGTGCATTTATATGTATGGATCATGGATCAATCTCTCAAAACAGTTCAATATATTCACCAAGCATATTCTTTAACATTAGATGGTTGAAGAAATAGAATTTTTAGTAAACTAAAAGGTTTTCTGAAGTGTATTTTATTCACTAAAATCCTGGAACACATTACAGACACAGATTTAGTTCTGGAAGGGACAACAAAGGTCATCTAGTATAATATCTCATTTTACAGATAAAGAAACTGGAGTGTCAAGAAATTAAATACCTTGCCCAAGATCACACAGGTAGAGCCAAGATTCAAACTTTGACATTTTGATATCACACTCACAACACTCTTTAATTCCCTGGTAAGTATGTCAAAAATACCTACTAAATTTCACTTTTTAAAAAGTCACTTTGGTACCAGTTCCTAAAATAAATAGCCTAGTTTTAAATTCTACCTGGGATAGGGAATATAATTATAAATAAAAGACAGATTGGTGTCATAGAAAGATTAGTGGAATTGAAGTCAAAAGATCAAGAGTCTTTTGATCTGAATTCCAGCTCTGCAGCTAGCTGACCTGGCTAACCTTGGACAGGTAACTATACCTTAGCTTAATTCCTCAGTGAAATGGAAATGAGGCTATTCACACCACCTACCTTATAGGGTTGAGGGGAAAGTCAAATAAAATACCACAATAAAACACTTCGTAATTATAAAGTACTATACAAATATGAGCTATTTTTAAACCAAATTTTTATCAACTCTAATGATCTGCCTAAGGGCAAACAGGTATTAAGTATCAGAGGGGAAGTTTGAGCCCAGGTCCTTTGAAGCAGGGCTCTTTCCATTATACCACACTGACAGTTAATCTCTTTTATAAAGCAAATAATCACTTCCAATGTCTCTATCCTGAGTATAAAATGAGACTAATAAGGAATGAATTTACTAGTTTAAATGTTTTTTTTAGGTCAAATGGTAGAATGTAAATACATTGAATATGAGAGGTAACAGGGTTGATGTCTGCATTCTCTACTTTTATCGATCCTTTAAAATCATAGTTACACATTTATTCCTGCTCTAGTTCACAAATCTTTCCAAAAGAAAGGAATAGATTGAGTATAGGAAGAACAGTGAGTCAGTGCTGTCTATAGATTTGGTCAGCTTCTATTGATTTCTTTCTAGGGAGGCAGTATGGTGTGATGGAAAAGGTGTTAGCTTTGTAGTCAAAGGAACAAGGTTCAAATCCTGGCTCTTCCATTTATTACCTGTGTGACACTGTTAGATAAAAGTCGGTCTAAATTATAAGGTCCTTTCCAGTTCTAAATCTGCAATCCATAATACCGTATGCTAGTATTGTTAGTTAGACACACTTGTGGTAGTAGCAATTTTGATGATGATATTCTCAGTTTCCTCATTTGTAAAGGGAGGGGGTTAGATCAAATGATGTTTGAGGTTACTTCCAAATCTAAAATTCTATGAATCTATATTGAAAATGACTACTATTACCTTAAGGAGACTGGGAAATCATAGGATGGACAGATCTTAAAATTCTAATGTAAAAACACTATAATAATGGTTATCCATCTTTAACAAGTATATTCCTTAATAATGAGGCTAGAATTTTATTAAACTAGAATTAAATCTTCTACTAAAAGGAACCTTTTCCCCCCTATTTAGAGCACCAAGAAACTACAAAAGAAAATCAGCATTACATACGTGACATGTGCAAAACACATTATGTAACATTATATTCAGATAAAGGATCCCTGAGCTACTAAGTTTCTGAGATAACACAAATATTTAACTCTAACAATTCAGTTTTGAGTTACTTTGTACTCTCCTCTTAAGCATGTTCAGCCCTGTATGGGGAATGTGAAACTATTAATCCACACAGTTTTAAGCTAGTGGCCTACTTAACTTCCATAGATAAACATGATTACAGACAAGTAAAAGATTTAATCTCCTGTTATTCTGGGGTCACAAATCTGGAGATTTTTGAATGTTCCCCAATAAACTTTATTGCGTTTTTAACTGATATAGTGAATAGTCACCTTGTTGTGAGCAACAACTTTGAGGGCAAAGGTTGCCAAATAAAGGGAATTCATGACAAAACTGAGTTGATTACGAGATTCTTCTAAAAAGTCTTCCAATCCATCATACCAGAGTCTTTTAACATCTGACCACACCATTCCTAAAAGGGGATGGGGGTGGTGGGGTGGGAAGAAACATCAAACAATGCACACTTAATTCTACTATATAAGAAGAAAAAATACTTAAAAGTAGAATAAACAACTGAAATAGTATACTTGGGTAACTGCAGTCTTATAAAAATAAAAGATTTTTTTAGTAAAAAGAAAAAGTTACCACAATTAGAAAAATATAATCATAATCTATATTGGAGAATGAGACGATGGTAGAAAAACAGTTAAGGAAAACTTGAAAGGATGAATTTTCGTGCTTAAAAAGTCTAAATATTAATAACTAGAAATACTTCCATTAATGAGTTATAAACAAGTATTTATGAGTACCAAAAGCATTAATATAATTAAAGGAATTTCATGGCATATTCCTCTATTTGGATGCTTTTTAGGAGAACACAAAGTAACAAAAACCTGAGTTTTTAAATAAATATGAGAGTAAATCTATTTAAGCCAAGTAGATCAAACTCTGGTTTTTCTATGACCAAAATAATTCCAATAGAAAAATACTTTAGAAAATTCCTGCTTAGGTGCATTTTAACTGTAAAATACCTTTGATACAGAAAGAAAAGTTTCAAAACATTTGCACTGACTATTTGCATTTCCTGACTATCAAATCTTTTTTTAAAATTAAAGGTTTACAGAAGGTTGAGGTGTGATAATACCACTGAAACTAGGATGGCCATTTAACATTTCTGAAAATGTTAAACCTAACTATCCAAAAGAAGACATTTATTTTTGCTGCAGTTAACTAAACTACTTATCTTTAGACTTGTTTCAAACTTTTCAAGATGTGGAAGACATCTGTTATATCTACCATTACTATCCCATGTCAGGATCCACATATAGACTTCAGAGAAAAAAAATTAAATCCCGCTTCCTTTTCCCTCCCAAGAAATAACCCAAAACATATTTCTTGAGACAAGAGACACTCAAGAGAATCTTCTTGGATTCTCATATCTCTCATGGAATCCTGAGGTTCTTGAAAACCACTGACTTGAAGATTATCAAAATGGGTAAACATTTTTTCTCTGCATGTAGCTTTTTTTTAAAAAGAATTAAGATTTTGCAAAATATAATGTCTATTTTCTGAAATAAATGCTTCAGTTAGGAAAAACCTATCAGGACAAAAATGAACCTTGAGGAAAACTTTTTTGAGTAAAAAACTTAGAATATTTAATTGGTATAGACCTACGTGTTAACAAGGAGGGCAAAAAGTTGAAATAATGCTAACAACTATCTGCTAGCAGAAATAACATTCAGTAAGAAAACTCCCTCTACAAAATGAAGGTGGGCACCAGCCTCTGCAACCCGGTGTTAGTGAGTTGCCTGGGTCTGAAAGAGCTTAAGTGACTTGCCCATGGACATATAGACAATAGATATATATCAGAAGAAGGGCCTGAACCCAAGTCTTCCTGTCTCCACGGCTAGGTCTCTCTACCACTCTAGCACACTGCCCTTCAGGTACCTTTCAGAGAGACATAGATTATGTAATCTAACAGAGGATACGTAATCACAACATACCAAATTGCTATCTATTCAAATCTATTTTTAAAAACTTTAAGGATAACAAACTAGGTAGTAATAATGAAGCAATAATGGCTAAAGCCTTTATTGTTGATTTCTAATTAAATCATTGGATTTAAATTTGAGGGGCCTAATGATCATTATTTTCATTTCAATTTTGTTAACTACTCCAACTTAGTTTCTGGGATCTTAGGATATTCTGAGTAAGGAAACTTTCTACCAACGCAGATCAGTAACTATTTCCCAACTAATATACTATTATAGAGTTTTCTGGAGCAATTAATAATTTAAATCACTTGCCCAGGGTCACAAAGACAATATGTGTCAGATGCAGGTTTTGAATCCAAGTCACCTTAATTCTAAGGTCAGTCTTCTATCCACTACTCCATGCTTGCTCTCTTGATTTTCCATAGACACAATTTTTTTAATGTTCAATTTGCTATTAACATATATTAACAAAAGTATATTCATCTTAACTTCTGCATAACTGGAAATCAGTATAGATATGGTGGCATTTGCAAAATGACAATCCTCTGTTGAATAAAATTTGATAAATTAGTAAGTTTTCACCTAGCAAGTCCTTGTTACTTCGAATTACATAACTGTGTTGTCCAGGTATTCTACTCGTCAAATCAAAGCTTTCTAAATCGACACTTTATCTAGCAATTATTAATTCCCCTCATACGTCCAGATTAACATATAGTTCTTTCTGCATAGTCTAGAAGGAAAAACTAGCAGGAAAAATGGCATAAATCCTCAACTGAATGAATGGAAAAAATTTAGGCTTTTTAATGTCAGCTATGATTTTAAAACTCTTTTGAAAATTACATTCCAATATACGATAAAACACGTAGGCTAATATATCTGCCAAAGTCACTTGCATTTCTTTGGCTTCAAAACAATTTCATATTTCAAAATATGTAAGAATTAAAAGCAATATGAAAAGTATGTAAATAAACACCATTATAAATAGCAAAATGAAAACATCATATTTAGAATCCAAAATGCCACTTTCAGTGCTAACTTGTTAATGCCTACAGAAAATGTAAAGATTGGTGGGGTGGAGCCAAGATGGCGGAGGGAAAGCAGTGACTTACTTGCTTGAGCTCTCCCCCCAAACCCCTCCAAATACCTATAAAAAATGGCTCTAAACAAATTCTAAAGCAGCAGAACCCACAAAAAGACAGAGTGAAACAAATTTCCAGCCAAAGACAGCCTGGATGGTTGATCAGAAAGGTATATCGCACCAGGCGGGGAGAGGAATGCAGTTTGATATGGGCACGCAGGCCTCAGAGGACTGAATCATAGGCAGCTGTGGCGGTTTCCAGACTTCTCAACCCAGGAATGTCAAAGACAACTTAGAAGGTCAGTGGGAAAAGTCTGTGACTGCGGTGAGAGAAGGAGCTAGGTCTCAGCTGTCCCCGGGGCCACGGCTGTTTCCTGAGCTTCTGGCCCACAGACTGAGGGGGAATCAAGTGGCTGATCAGAGGGGGATTGCAGGGTTCTCTTTGCCAGTGCTGAGGCAGGAATCTCTTGCTTTACTGGTGCTTGGATCTGGGTCACAATTCTGAGGTGCGGTCCTGGGGCGAGGAGGAGTGCTGGCATGGTGAAGCTTGTTGTGGCGGTAGAGAGAAAACACCTTGCCCCTTATCATCCACCTTGGAAAAACTGAAAATTTACAGGTCCCTAGAAGTATCTCTGAAAACAGCTGTACAAACCCCCAAAGCTTGGGACAGTACATTCTCCACATTGGAAACAGACTCTTACCTTAACAAAGAGTTTAAAACTCAAGTAATTGGCCGGGATCATGAGTAAGCGCAAAAAGAGTCAGACTATATTATCTTACTTTGGTGGCAACAAAGATGAAAACATACAACCAGAAGAAGACAACAAAGCCAAAGCTCCTACATCCAAAGCCTCCAAGAAGAATATGAATCAGTCCCAGGCCTTGGAAGAGCTCAAAAGGGATTTTGAGAAGCAAGTAAGAGAAGCAGAGGAAAAACTGAGAGTTTTGCAAGAAAATCATGAAAAACAAGTCAACAGCTTGCTAAAGGAGACCCAAAAAATATTGAAGAAAATAACACCTTAAAAAATAGCCTAACCCAAATGGCAAAAGAGGTCCAAAAAGCCAATGAGGAGAAGAATGCCCTAAAAAGCAAAATTGGCCAAAAAGAAAAGGAAGCCCAAAAGCTTACTGAAGAAAATACTTCCTTAAAAATTAGAATAGAGCAATTGGAAGCCAGTGACTTTATGAGAAATCAAGACACTGTAAAACAAATCCAAAAGAATGAAAAATTAGAAAACAATGTGAAATATCTCAATGGAAAAACAACTGACCTGGAAAATAGATCCAGGAGAGAGAATTTAAAAATTATTGGACTATCTGAAAGCCATGATCAAAAAAAGAGCCTAGACATCATCTTTCAAGAAATGATCAAGGAAAACTGCCCTGATATTTTAGAACCAGAGGGCAAAACAGAAATTGAAAGAATCCACCGATCTCCTCCTGAAAGAGATCCCCAAAGGAAAACTCCTAGGAATATTGTAGCCAAATTCCAGAGTTCCCAGGTCAAGGAGAAAATATTACAAGCAGCCAGAAAGAAACAATTCAAGTATTGTGGAAACACAATCAGGATAACGCAAGATTTAGCTGCTTCTACATTAAGGGACCGCAGGGCATGGAATATAATATTCCAGAGGGCAAAGGAGATAGGACTACAACTAAGAATCACTTACCTAGCAAAACTGAGTATAATCCTGCAGGGGAAAAAATGGTCATTCAGTGAAACAGAGGACTTTCAAGCATTCTTGATGAAAAAACCAGAGCTGAATAGAAAATTTGATTTTCAAATACAAGACTCAAGTGGAACATGAAGAGGTAAACAGGAAAGAAAAAATCATAAGAGACTTATTATAGTTGAACTGTTTACATTCCTGCATGGAAAGATGATATTTGTAACTCATGAGACCTTTGTCAGTATTAGGGTAGTTGGAGGGGAAAAAATTATATGTACGTATATATAGATATATATAGATAGATAGATAGATAGAGGGCACAGGATGAATTGAAAATGAAGGGGTCATATCTGGAGAATAAAATTAAGGGGTGAGAGAGGATTATACTAGGAGCAGGAGAAAGGGAGAGGTAGAATGGGGTAAATTATCTCACAAAAAAAAAAACAGAAAAGAAAAGGCTCTTATAATGGAGGGGAAATGGGGGAAGGTGAGAAGGAATGAGTGAATCTTATTCTCATAGAATTTGACTTAAGGAGGGAATAATATACACACTTAATTAGGTGTGGAAATCTGTCTTACCCTACAGGAAAATGGGGGCGGAGGGGACAAGAGAGTAGGGGGATGATAGAGAGGAGGGCACATTGGGAAAGGGGGTAATCGGAAGCAAGTACTTCTGAGGAGGGACAGGGTCAAAAGAAAGAATAGAATAAATCAGGGGGGTGGGATAGGATTAAGGGAAATAGAGTTAGTTTTTCACAGCATGTCCACTATGGAAGTGTTTTGCATAACTGCACATGTATAGCCTATATTTAGTTGCTTGACTTATCAATGAGGGTGGGTGGGGAGGGAGGAAGGGAGAAAATTTGAAACCCAAAGTTTTAAAAACACATGTTTTAAAAAAATGTTTTCACATGCAACTGGGAAATAAGAAATACAGGAAATGGGGTACAGAAATCCATCCTGCCCTACAGGAAAATTGAAGGGGAAGGGGATAAGAGAAGGGGGGGAGAGATAGAAGGGAAGGCAGACTAGGGGAAGGGGTATTCAGAATGCATGCTATCTTGGGGTGGGGGGGAGGGGCGAGATGAGGTGAAAATTTGGAACTCAAAATCTTGTGGAAGTAAATGTTGAAAACAAAAAAATAAATAAAAATTACCATAATAAAAAAAAAGAAAATGTAAAGATTGGTTACATTATGACATGAAGAAACTTACTTTATCTCTTTTTTCTCATTATTGACAGAATATTAAAATGAAACATTATGCCACTGACATTCTACATATTCATCTAGCCTTTTTTTCCTTTATCAAATGAATCCAAAATTTAACTATCTTATATAAGTTATGTAGTTAGTGATGAATAGAAGTATTCCCTTTTGAGGGAGTGACAGAAGATTAGGGGAAAGGTAAAAAAAATTGTATCAGTGTAATCTGTAAATAAAATCTCATGATGTGCAATGAAAATAACTATATGAACTGATGATGCATGTCAGATTTATGTAATTAAATAAAGTGCAAGCGATTTGCATATATGCTACCTCTGAGAAGACTGAATTTATCTTCAAAGATTTCTACTGGCTCAGTTCAGTACCAACATTAAGTATTTATAAACTTTTTTTTTTTTTTACTGAGTAGTCTTTTCATTAAAGCAATATTATTGACAGCATTATTAATACAATCAGTAAATAAATTGTATGAGAGTCTGAAGAGTCATAGGACCCTTTCACACAATAAAAAGTATTAAATACTGGGAGAAATTATATAAATGACCTTCAACACTTAAGTTCCATTGAGTCAGTACGACCTGACAATTAAATGAAAATTAACCATGTGACATAAAGATGTCATATTTTAAGTTCAATTCAATAAGCACTTATTAAGACGTATCATACGCAAAGTATTGTGCTAGGGAGACAATTTTTTTAAAAGACATAGCTGTTCTCAGGCAGCTTACTGTTCTACTGGACTTATGTGGCTTTTGAGTTCAATTTCTACTAATGTCAAGTATTTTATTGGAAAATTAGCTGAACATAGACAATGACAAAAGCATGATATGCCCTGAAGCCAATATTTTTGGGGGATGTAATTTGGCTTCTGACCTCATCATTCAATTAAAACTGTCCTCTCAAAGTCACCAATGATCTCTATTAGCTGCCAAGCTCAATCCACATCCTTCTGACCTCTCTACCGTGATCACCGATCACCTCTTCTCCAGGTTTTCTTGACATTATTCTCTCCTGGTTCTCTCATCTGTCTGGCCCCTACTTCTCAGTCTCCTTTGCTGGTTCTTCATCCATGTCATATTCACTAATTGAGAGTATCCTCCAAGATTCTGGCCTGGGCCTACTTCTGTTCTCCCTTTACATTATGCCACTTGGAGGTATTATCAGTTCAGTTATCATCTCCATGTAAATAACTCGCAAAGCTATCTAGCCCTAGTCACTCTCCCACATCTCCAACTACTTCTTGCATAACTTGAACTGGAAGTCCAACAGGTAAACTCATTAAGTCCAAAATGAGACTCATTATCTTTTCCCTAAAAATACTCTGAACTTTCATGTGACTATTCAGGGAGTCACCACCCTCCTACTATTCAGAGCAATGCTCAAGAACTTTATTGATTATGCGTCTTACAATGACTTGGAAAAGCTAAATCTTCCTTTCAAAACAAAAATGTTCTTTAAAAAAAATTTCTTAAGCTATAATTACAACAGGAGAGACTTATATAAACTCTATAGGAAGAAACTTCCTTCTTAGAGTTGTTACTAGGGTTACAAAAGGTTGATACAAAGGATTCTTCTATTAACATGATCATTAAGAATAACATAATATTGTTATTATTAATAACATAATATTCTAAAAGAATACCATAAAGAGAAGTATGATAGACTCAATTACTCAAAGGTTTTCAGTTTCACATTTCTATGTTCAACCACATTGTTCATAAATGTCTCTTCCGTTAAAATGTGAACTCCATGAGAGTAGAAGTGACCTCTATTTTTCTATTTGTATTCCCAGGACTTAGTACAGTGCTTTACACATATCAAATGTGTATGATAAATTTTTTAATCCATTTATTCATAAATGGTCACCACCATAATAGTATTATATAAGGTGAATAAATATATTTTCCCTTTGTTTTCAAAATAAAAAAATTAAGCAAAAATATAGAAAATAGAGGAAAACATTATACAGGAATATTTCACCTTTTTAACTAGTTTTAACATTTTCATTTTTCAATTTAAAATACTCATTTTGTGTACTGCAAACTTTCTAGCTAAAAACGACAATGTTAGGCTTAAATAGAAAGACGCTCGATTGTTTTAAATTAATTTTAAAATTAATTTAAAACATAAATTAAGACAATGTTAATATTAAAATGAACCCAGCTTAGGGACTAAAAAGAGATGTGCTGATGATTCTCAAATCTACTCATCTAGCCCTACCCTCTCTGCTGAACCTCCAGTCTACCATCTCCAACTGCCTCTTAGTTACCTCAAACTGGATGTTTCAAATTCAACGTATCTAACTTGAACTTATTTTTTCTCCCCAGAGTTTCTTCTCTTCTAAACTCCCATATTAGGATGGCACCACTCTAATCCCACTCTCCCAGACTCACAGCCTGGATGTCATCCTCTACTCCACCCTGTCTCCAGCCCCCCACATCTAATCTGTTGCCAATGCTTACCAATGTCATCTTCGCAACGTCTCTCAAAAACGGCCCCTCCTGTCCTCTAAAACTGACAGCGCTCTGGTGCAGGCCTTCATTACCTCGTGCGTGGATTTTTGTAATAGCCCACTGGTGAGAGTGTCTGCCCCAGTCCAATCCATCCTCCATTCAGCCACCAAAACGATTTGCCCAAAATGTGCGTCTGATCGTGTCACTCTTTACTCAGTAATCTCCTGTGGTTCCCTAATACCTCCAGGATCAAATAGAAAATCCTGTGTTTTCAAAGCCCTTTATTACCTATCCCTCCCCCACTTCCCCACCCATCTACCAACTGTCCAGTCTTCTCATACTTTATACTTAATACTCTTTGATTCAATGACCCTGGCCTCACACAAGACACTCCCATCTCTTGCTCCACATGCCCAGAATGTTCTCCCTCCTCCTCCCTACCTATGCTTAATAAATGCTGACTGACTGAGATATTAGAATAGACTTCCCTCTCTTCTTTCAGAGATGGAAGACTATGGGTGTGGAATACCATATATAATGTCAGATTTCTTTACGTGCTAGTTAGTTTGTTCAATGTTTTTCCTTTCTTTTTAACTCTTAGTTAACAAAAGATATCAATAAAAATTAAAAATTTTAAACAGATTAAAAACATGTTTTTATAAACTAATGATGAACAAAAGGTAAATACTTTCAATTGTATTTTCTCCAACTATACTATAACTCTAGAGAGTTAATAAAGGATCAAGTGAGGTATAAGTTTTCAAAGTAAACCAATATTTTATATTGAGGAAAAACAAAAACTTTCAAGAGTTCCTTCCCAACACCAGAACAAATATACGACAAATTAATATTGAGTATCAGAAAGGTTGTACTGTTTTGCTGAAGACAAAATATACCAAAAAAGTGCCCTGAAACAAACACACTGAAGCGTCATTAACAGAGTGAAAAAGAGAATGTGACCTTCTAGATAATGAAAAAATCAAATTGATTTCCCTCCACACTAATCTGTTATGTTTATTATGTTATATGTTGTTTTATAAGCATAAGTTTTTTAAAATGCAACTTTATTTAGTTTGCTTTATACTTTTAAAAATCTGAAAATATTAAAGACTATATCTACCATTAGTAAAAACCGTAACAAAAAATGAGTTGATAAAGCAGGGACTCTTAATCTTTTTTTGTGCCACAGATCCCTTTGACAATCTCATGAAGCCTATAAACCACTTCTAGAAATAATGTTTTAAATGCATAAAAGAAAATACATAATATTAACAAAGACAACCAATTGTATTGAAATTCAATTATCAAAATATTTTAAAATAACTTTATGGACCTCAGGACCCCTACACTAAAAGTTTATGTAATTCTAAGTTTCAGTGTTATTACTATAAATTAAATTATTGTGACAGGAGAGACAGTAAAGGAAGACGTGGCTGAAGTGATTCATTAAAAACGTTCAGGTTCTTTAAAGCTTAAGTTTCATAGGAAATAAAACAGTATTTCAAGGAATCTATTATTTCATCAATTCAGAAATTCCTTCCATTGGTGTAGATAGAAATCCTTTCACTGGATTTTATCATCTCATGCCTCAAATAGTTAACTTTCAAATGGTATATGAACATAAATCTCATAAAATTTTAACAATGATAAGGCTCCAACTAGGATTATAATTTTTTCCTAGGAAAAAAAGTACAACATCTACTTTAAACATGAATATAAGTTCAAAGTTTTAGAGGAAAATTCTGTAATTCACATGGAATACTTTATTCAAGATAAAAGAAAAATTCTACCTCCTCATCTGTCAAATATGAAGACAGATTAGTTATTGGTCATTTCAGAAGTCATCATCAATAGTCCCAGAAAAGTCTAGCTCACCGTGTCTTGGAGTTAGAACGCAGATATTTTATGAACAGCACACAGCAAAAGTGGACTAATGAGTTTGAGCTAAATCAAGACAGAAATTTTAAAATCAACTAGATACTTACCAATCAGCCATATAATAAGAAGATAGTCTATCCTTTCAAGCGCTGGCCCCATGGTATTTTTCTTATCCTCGTTGTAGACCAGGGAGTACAAGTTAAGCAACAACAAGAAAGTAAAATATGAAGCTCCATGAATAATAAACTTCATAAAAGGTGTGTGGATTATTCGACCAACTTGAGATTTGGGAGCAATCAAATAACAGAGTGACAGAATCGGCCAAAAGATGCCAACTGTCAGAACCGTCAGTATCTTCTTACAGGTGTGTTTACGCCGGTAACCTGCCATCTGGCCAAACCAAACCGTGTTGAGGAACTGCTGACAGTTAGACTGAGAGACAAACTGAAAAGAAGACACAAAAAATTAAAATAAAGGATCTGAACACTGACTGATAAACCTATTATTCAAGTTGCTATTCAAGGTTTTAAGAAGATTAAAAATGAGTATTACAAAAATTCTTCAGAAAGAAAAGTAAGATTTTTCTTTTATCTGAGCAAAGAAAAAATTATAATACATGTCTTCTCAAATAATTTCATTGCACTTATTTGGTATGCAAAATGTAGTTGTCTTGAATTGTTTCATAAAATATAAAAGGTCACAAAATGTGGTTTTCTGAGAAAAATACTAAATATTCATTACCTTCCAAATACAGTAATAAGTATCTTAGTTTCATGGAATTAACACCACTTACAAGAAATTTAAATTCAAATCCTAAATCTTATATCTAAAATGTAAGCAAGGCATTAATTTTTTAAAATTTTAAGCTAATATATGCACATTTAAACAAAGTCAAACCCAGATTTAATGTAACCTGAAAAAGAAAAGCACCAGAAAACATTCTCCCTAACTGGAGATAACAAATACAGACTAATTTTCTCTATGAATTGCTTCACAGTTTAGAATAGGCAAGCTTTTCCAATGTATTAAGCCTTCAAAGTGTAATATAACTTAAGCAGCTTGATACCTCTAGATTCATTAACATGAGACCAAGTCTAAATACACAAAGTAAAATGGAGTGCTTTGAAATTATTCGGGCAACCAGAAAACTGGCAGCACAGTGAACAGCACACTGTCTCTGCAGTCAGGAGTAATAGTTGTGTGACCCTGGGTAAGTTACTTAACCCTGACTGCTTCCAAAACAAAACAAAATTAAACAAACTATTCAGACAATTCTCTTTTAGAGAGCAGATTGTTCTGACAAAAAAATAATTTAGAGATTATTCTCCATGTCCTATTTTTCTACTGAAGAATCTTGCATTGTAGAAAAACAAATTTATTGTTTAGGAAAGAGGTAAACTAGTCAATGTGACTACCATGAACTTATGCAGAGAACACTGTATAAACAAAAAATCTTATCATTCAACACAAGTGCTAGTTAGGCATTTGGTTCTATCATTCTTAGTGGCCAAAATGAATTATTTTCTTTCCTTAACAATGAAGTACCTGAGAGATATGTTCTCTCTCTCTCTCTCTCTCTCCCAACAAACTTTCCAGTTTGAAGAATTAGAACCCTCAAAAGGAATTACAAGTTTGGATATTCTCCTATTCCCCTCTGCTATATCCAGTCCATAACTGCAAAAATTAAGCATGTTAAACAGGAAAACTAAAAAAAAAAAAAAAAAAAAAGACTGCCACAGCATATTTTTCCTTTTTATTTGACTACATTTTTTTTTAAGTTTCAAAAGAACTAGATCACTTATTCTTATTCTGAATCATATTGTTGTTAACTATTAAGCATTTAACTTCATCTCAAGGCAGAATCCACAACCAAACCTTTCTAAGCATATTAAAATCTATTCTATTTTAAATGAAGCAATTCCACAACTCTTTCTCTGTAACCTTTTAAAACAGTTCTTTCCTTTTAGAAAAATCTACTTTTTATCTAGTCTAAATCACTCCTGATTCATTTCCTCTTGTTTATCTTCAATGGAAACATCTCCTTCAAAAACCAAGAAACTAAAAGGATAATGTATATTGCCTCCTAACCTCCTCTTCTTTAGGCAGAACTATTTTCTGAGTCCAATTTTCAAATCCAGCCTTTGAATGAATCTATGCATTTCACATACACCATGGGCTGTGGAACACATTGTGATTAAAATTTGTCATGTAATGCAAAGAGTGTATACACGTTCCTACATTATCTATATTTCTGTCAACATACTTTAATATTGTCTTTGTTTTTAAAACTACTTCTGAATATTGCTGTCATATTATTAGCTTACTGCACACTGAACCCTGACAATGTAATTGCTCATAACTAGTAATTCTCATCTTATATACAGTTTTTTCACTATATCTTAAATTTGGACTGTCTAAACTTACTTTATTCTTTGTTTTTGACTTGGTGTTTCAGGTAATGACACTGGTAACCATGCATGAAATGCAAACCCATGCATGAAATAGTAAAAGCACAAAAAGGCACACAATGGCAGCAAAAAGAGTGCTGAGGACCACACACAGTTAAACTTTTTACAATTTAACTTTCACTACTATTAATATTTTACCTTCACCCAACACCTAGAGAGTTAAACTTGTTTCCACTACCAGAGGAAATGAACCACAACTAATTATAAATGGTATTCTCACTATAAATGAAATTGGACCAAGTGAAGAAGTATTTACAGTCACATATTTGACAGCTGTAGAAAATATAAGATCTCATTTTATTCACTAAGTCAACTGGAACGCGTTTATTAACTCAGTAGAAAAAAGGAGACTTTAACACTCTTTAAAAACAAGGTGTGTCTCCCAAACTTACATCAAAACTATATAAGACTCTTTGACAGATGAGACTAGAGAGATAATATACGACGTCAGAGGGAGATATCAAACAGAGAGAGCTATGTTTTCAGGATTTTCACCAAAGGTACCTGCCAGGGCCATGGATGATGTTCAACAAATGCTTCTATATTGAGACAGAAAACTAACTGAATCAAGCCCTGGAACACTACCAAACTCCCTTGGTGAAAAGCACGGTAACCTAAAAGAAATTGGTCTGACCACTGGAAAAAATCAAGTGCATGAAAAGTATATTTTGCCTAAACTGCCTAAGAAGCTGGACAAGGAGCCTAAGTTAGCAGATTACTATATGTAAATAAGCTTCAACACATTACCAATTAATACTTGCATGAAAAGTGGCATAGGACATGTGTATCTAAAAACAAGGTGGGATGGTCATGAAATGAAACGACAATAAATGGAGAACCTGAATGTCACATTGTCACTCTCCCAGATGCTAAAAGAACAAGAGGAAGCCCTCTAGAGAGTATTCCACTAATGAAACTAGGGATCCACCGAAGTATAGTATCAGGAGCACAGTGCCCACAACACTTCAATGGCTTTCTAAAAATCCTCCAATATCACAGACAATTCTCTGGTTATGAAAATCAGAGAATATTTCAAGATACAATACACTTTTTTTTCTTCCTAAAAAGTTATAATTACAAAAAATAGTAAAGTAACTTTTTAACATGGGTCGGGGAAAGGTAAGTTAAGAGGCCTATGCGGCAAAAGAACTGTGATAAAAATTTTTTTTTAATTTTTTTTATTTTTAATATTTTTTAATATTATAAACATCACCACCTTAAAAAAACATTTCTGGGGGCTGCTTCAATGGAGGATTCTGATACAATATTGTACAACAATTTCCATAGTTGCAGCATGGTTTATGGGGCAAAAAAATTAGTTTTTATTTATAAGCTTCCAATTCTTATAATTTTCTTTTTCATTTATAAATTACCAATCAACACACTAGTCTTTATGCATGTCCATATTAAATCCTATTACAAATCCCATAAAAAACATTTTCACTGCAATACACTTTTGTAATGAATAAAAGTCTGGCAATAACATTTCCAATTAGTGACAATGAGAGACAAAGCAGAAATGATATGCAGTTTATTTGAATTACAGGAGCTTTAAAAGTATTTTGGTCATAGTAAGAAAAAAAAGGAAGAATCATGCCCACTCCTGAACCTTACACAAACATTAGTGATTCAGAACTGTTGGTGAATTTTTGGCCTGAGTTTATTAGATTACAAAGTAGAGGGTGCTGAAAAGGATTTCAAAGCCATTTGCTACACCACTAAAAATCTATGCAGAGCCAGATTCAGTTCAGCTATGCTGTAGTCTTATCTTCATTTTGGGAGCAAATAGTCGATAAGATTTATAAACAAAGAAGGTGATGCTTTTTTTTTCTTTTTTAAATGAAATATTTCAACAAACAAGGCATAATGTTACCAGATCAAGACTGCATTACTGTAACAATCAACCTGGACATTAAAAGTTTAATACACAGATCTTTTCAATATGACATCATAGGATTTAACTCTTAAGTCAGTTAACAGGTAAATCCTATGCAGCACAGAATATCACATACCTCCTTTTGGTTATATTTGATAGCAAGTTTCAAACGACTTAAATTCATTCTTTCTTCCAACAATCCCCTTTTATCCAAAGGCTCATCATTAGATGTGTGGTTTAGGATGACTTCCAGCTCCCGTGAATTCCGTGCCTGGGCAAGCAAATCTTTGGCAAACATTTTACATTGCTGAGCTAGTTCTTCATAATCATTCCTACAAAATACAATAGTATATAATAACTACTTTAAAATGATTGGTACCTTCAATCATGCCTTAAAAATTAAAATAGAAACTTGGTATTCATTAATCTTTAGTCAAATGTGCTTCACTATACTGAGCCAAAGAAGATATCGGGAAATACCTTCAACACATATTCTCATTCTGAACCTCTCCATAGGATCTAATGTAGTTGAAGGCTTAGACAGATGAACAACCATACTGGAGCACTGCTTCCATGAGGCATTGGAAAAACCATTTTTCACATTTATAGACCAATCGTCACATCTTCCCTCATTACACACTAATTTTCCTAGTTAGCTTGCTTAATTCATGTGGCACAGGATTTATTTTAACAATAGTTCTCTAAATATTAATATTAATGAATTCATGCTCTCCGGTGCAGTGGACAATCCTCTGGCTCTGAAGTCAGAGAATTGGGCTCACATCCTTTCTCTGATGCTTATTACCTCTGTAACCTCACTTAACTCATCTGGGGCTCATTTTCTTCACCTGTAAACTTAGACAGCTGGACTGGATGGCCTCTGCAATCCCTTTTACCTCTAGATCTATGATCCTATAATCCTAAATAATAAAACATTCTACTTAATTTTTAACTAGATATTTTCAGGAATTATTTATGTTGTTTCTAATATTTTTAAATAGTATTTTAAGTGACTATTTGGGGAGGGGAAAACCACTTGGCAATGTCTAATAAATACCTGTCCTCGGATTCCCATTATTTTAGTCTTGGGACCCATCTAGGCAAAATTCATAGAACAAGCATAGCATTATGTAGTATATTGTAGACAACAAATGTGCGCTGAATGGTCAAAAACTCGCTATGAAAAAATATGCAGTTCTAGTGAATACACTGTAAAAACCTTTAGTTTGATTCAATTTATATTTACATCTAATTTAGAACAAATTTCATAAGCAATTTTATAAATATGACAAAATTAATCTGCATCTGTAAAATATTAAGAATTAGGTTTAAAAAGAAATAAACATCAATTCTAAAATTGAAGTCAAACTTCATAGTAGCATTTTTTTTTCTGCACTTCATCTAATATTTTTAGCCAGACACAAAAGTCACCTCTACTTAAGTCTTTTTTTGGAGGGGGAGGGGAAAGGAAAAGGAAGGAAGAACTGAAAGGCCTTCAAATTTATAGTCTTGTACCTTCCAGGAGCTAGCTTCAAAAACCAGAAGCTGGGAGAAACTTTCTTTTCCTTGAAAGCTATCAGTTTTTCCCATTACTACTCATTTGATCCCAGATAAAAATAAGAGAGATACAACTTCTAGGCACAAGCAATATAGCAGACTAATGCTTGGAGACTTAACTTGTTCCTCTGGGAATAAACAGGATTAACAGGCCCAGCAGAAAGCCAAGACACTTGAAAAGGAGGGAAAAAAAATGTAGCTGGGGGAAAGGGATGTAGTCCCTACATAATGCCAAGTCCAAGAATCAAAAAAGTGAGAGGACTCCAGCATAGGAGTATGAAGTCCAAAACTCAGGCAAAGAAAGGAAAATCCTTGGAGCAGAAGGAGAGGGATCTGCACAGTATCTGTCTTCTGTAAAGAGGCAGGCACACAGACTCTCCAAGCTCCTTCATATCTCAGGTCAGGCAAGACCTCAGATCAGAATATAAAATGCATTACTGAAATTACTGCAATGGCTTGTGCAGGTTATGCTGCTACTAATTAGCTACTACTAAGTAGCTGACTTTCTTTTAAAGCACATTTGAATTGAAGAGTTGAGTAACATGGGTAGTCATGCCAAAAGTAAGTTTGATCACAAAGATGTCATGCATATATACCTCTGGGCTGGTGTGTATATTTATATCCATGATACGTACCTGGGTAAAAATGTTACAAGTTAGAATATCAGGTTCAAAAGAATAAACTCTATGATACCAATCATAGGTCACTTAATTATTTAATGATCACTTTTGGGGTTGCAGAGTATTACTGTGGAAACAGCACTGGAGGAGGAATCCAGAGATCTAACTTCCATCCCAACTGTACCGTTAACGAGCCGTCTGGGAAATCACTTAAGCACTCCAGGCCCCCAGCGCCTCACTTCAGGTCTCAAGGATCTCTAGGTCTCTTCCAGCTCTGTCTGTGATTCAAATCTTAAATAGTGTCCACAGAACGAAAATAATCAAGTTGCTACAAAAGTTGTTTGTCTTTCTCTCCAAATGGTCTTTCTTCATCATTACTAATACTATTAAGATAACAGTTGATACAAAATGTCATTTCTGATTTTTTTATGTCAAACCATTTGACAGTATCAAGGACTCCGGCAGTAAGAACATTTGGGGGGGGGCAATGGGGGTTAAGTGACTTGCCCACGGCCACACAGCTAGTAAGGGTCAAGTGTCTGAGGCCACATTTGAACTCAGGTCCTCCTGATTCCAAGGCCAGAGATCTATCCACTGCACCACCTAGCTGCCCCAAGATTTTTTTTTAAAATAGCAATTTATCCAAAGTGATACAATATTCAAGAATAAATATTCATTGTGGAGGTACTAACATTTAAACCGTAAAAAGAATATTTGATGTCAGGTAGGACAAGGCATTAAACAATTTAAAGTTTTTTTTTTCAGTGTTACCTGAATTCCACCTCCACAAGACTGAGCTCTTTTAAGTCTGCACTAAGTTCAAATGCTCTTAGAATTGGATCTTCTTCTGTTAACATGATCAGAGCTGGACTGGCTAAGCAACGATAGATATCAAGTCGAAACCTGTGGTTAAAAATATTATTTGAAATTGTAAATTCTTATTATAAACATGTCTCCACTGATTAGTAATTTTAACATGATTTTTTTCTAAGATTGTACTTAATGATAATAAAGCATTTACTTTTTTTAAGGCATATGGAAAATTTGACCAGCTATCATAATACATTTGTTAAGAGTCTGATATACTTGAATCTGTCTCTAGGAGGTAAAGAAACAAAAAAATTGATATGCCTTTAATATTTAAGTCTTAGTTTTCCCTCTAGGTGCAGAACCTTGTTTTATGAAATCAAGTTTGATCGCAAAGATATTTACATCCCTTTCTTATTAAAAATGGATCATGTCATCTAATTGATAGCTCAAGTTTAACACAGAATTATTGTGCTTTTTCTTCTATAACCCGTGTAAATTAAAAAGGTGAAATAAGATAATGTATTTATCACACTTACAGTGACACAGGTATAGCATAACTAAAGAGTGGGCCTTGGAGCCAGGAAGATCTCCTGCCTTTGAGGCATAGTGGCTGTGCATCCCTGGGAAAGTCTCTTAAATCTTGGTGCTCTAGATAGTACTCCAAGATTATGTCCTAGGGAAGGTGCCAATCCACACTGGTAAAGGTAGTTTCCTCATCCACAAGTTTTCTGTGTCAATGAAAGCATTGGTCCATTTCCTATCCCTTATCCCTAGTCTTTATAGGTTAAAAAAAGTTCCAATTTTGAAAAGCTGAAAAACTAGCATATAGAATATTGACACTTAGAAAAAAATCATCTGTAGGTTAAATAAAGCTACTGCTATAACCTTCTACCTGTAGATCTTATAAAAGTTATACAAGTTACCAATTCAGAAAAAAATCTGGAATAGAAAATAAAAGATCACAAAAGCCAATTATGATGAAGTTAGCTTGAATGCCCATCACAATTAACAATGTCTTAAATTTGAATTAGTAAAGTATTAAGTCCTTTCCAACTTCAAATCTGAAAAGATTCTAAGCTTCTCTACCAAGTGATTACTTAAAAAATCTCCAAAGCATATGTATCATAATACATAAATTATCTCACACATGTATAAAATGTGAAGCCTTAAACACTAACTTTTAGTGTTATCAGCCATTTACCTAAAAGATGACAAGAACTAAAATCACAAGATGCAGTGACAATACACATGGTGGAAAAGACACAAAATATTCACAAGGCGAGGATAAGTTGTTCTTTTTTTCTGGAAAATTAACAGAAAAAAAAATCAAAATGTACTACATAGGTCTGAATAGAAGGGTACACTATCCCAAATTGTTAATCATCTTCATACCATAGGTAAACCTTGCTGGTTTCCACAAGCACACATGGCAGTAGCAAAAGTTTCCTCACCAACTACTTTACATTGAAATATCTTCAGTCCCATGGCCCTGCTGTCCTGAAAGGTAAGGAAGGCAGAACTCTCCTGTTCTAATGCCTACATCCTGTAACTGTACCTTTGGGCATTATTAAGTTCATCAACTCTCCCTTTCTCATGTCACCAAAGGTAGAGATAACTTAGAGAAACTGAGAAGAGGAGATCCCTCAGAACTCCCCCCTCCCCGAAGTGTTTGCACTTTGTTCCGTTAATAGGGCTCCATTTACTATTCAATCAATCAATCAATCAATCAAAAAGAACATAAAGACTGTGCTAGATGCTGGAGACCCATACAGAAGTCAAATAATCCCTGCCATAAAGAAGCTTACTTCCTATTGAAGGAGAGAGGACAACATGAAAACATGTCAGTGTATATTAACAAGTATATACAAAATGTATATGAAGGAAATACAAAGCCATTTTTGGAAATGCAGACAATGTGGGATCAGAGAAGGCTTTCTGCAGGAAGTGTGGTTTAAGATGGGCTCTGGAATCCAAGTATATGCCACGTGTCAAGGACAGCCCGCACAGAGGCTGGTGATGGTAGATGAGGAATAGTATCAAGGCCAGTTTGGCTGGACAGGGTGTGAAGGGGAATACATCCTGTCCTACTCGTCTCTGTTTTATAAAGGAGCTTGTTTGCCAAATTCATGTTACCCTTTGGCAAGAAGATCAAGTGTTTTTGACTGAGACACTTTCTCAGTTCTTTCAGTCTTCTTACTATGGCAACTCTTGTACATTAAATGTCTCTAAGTGTTAATCATAATTAACGTCTTTATTTTTTTCTGTTTCCCAGTTTTGAGAAATGACATCTTGTCCAAGTAGGCTTGGATTGGAGCTGATATAATTATTCATACTGCACTGGTTGTACTTCTATTCATATCTCTTGACACATGTCATGGTGGAAAGTCAGAGTATTCCTGGCTCTCTATTGCCATTTCCAGATTCTCACTATTCCATCATCAGTCAGTAACCTCTCCTCCTTCGAGGTTCACTCAGTTATATTTATCATCCAGTCAAGATTCTAGTAACTTTTTCTATTGACCTTCAGAACAATCTCTTTCCTTCTTCAATGGGTTCAGGCCCTGGCTTATTTTTCTTCCACAACTTCTGCCTTCATACTAACAGACTCCAACATGCTTGCTGATGTGCCCTCAAACACTCTAACTTCCCAATTCCTCAATTTACTCATTTTCTATGACATACTTCTCCATTCTACCTCAGCTGTTGTTCAGTTGTATCTAACTCTTTATGACCCCATGGACCATAGCATGCTGGGCCCTTCTACTCTCCACTATCTTCCAAAGTCTGCACAAGTTCATATTCACTGTTTCCATGACACCGTCTATTCATCTCATTCTCTGCTATCCCCTTTCCCTATTGCTTTCAGTCTTTCCCAACATCAGGGTCTTTTCTAATGAGTCCCATCTTCTCATTATATGGCCAAAATATTTAAGCTTCAGCTTCATTATTTGACCTTCAAATGAATAGCCTAAATTAATTTCTTTAACTGTTCACTTATTTAATCTCCTTGCTGTCCAAGGGACTCTCAAAAGTCTTCTCCAGCACCACAATTTGAAAGCATTGATTCTTTGGTGCTTAGCTTTCCTTATAGTCTAACTCTCACAGTCATACATTGCTACTGGAAAAACCATATCTTTGACTATGCCTTTGTCAGCAAGGTGATATCTTTGCTTTTTAGTGTGCTGTCCAAATTTGTCATAGTTTTCTTTCCAAGGAGCAAGTGTCTTTTAATTTCATGGCTGTAGTGCCATCTGCAGCAATCTCTGAGTCCAGAAATATAAAATCTGACACTGTTTCCATTTCTTCTCCTTCTATTTGCCAGAAAGGGATGGGACCAGTTGCCAAGATCTTAGTTTTTTTGATGTTAAGCTTCAAGCCAACTTTTACACTCTCCTCTTTCACCCTCATCAACAGACAGTTGTATTATCTACAGTGCTATCATTTACATATCTAAGATTGTTGATATTTCTCCTGGTAACCTTAATTCTGGCTTTTGATTCATCCAGCTTGGCATTTCACATGATGTACTCTGCATATAAGTTAAATAAATAAAGTGACAATATACAGCCTTCTCATACTCCTTTTCCAATCTTAAACCAATCATTCGTTTCATTTTTTGGTTCTAATTATTACTTGTTGGCACACATACAGGTTCCTCAGGAGACAAGTAAGACGATTTGGTACTCCCATCTCTTTGAGGACTTGCTACATTTTGTTGTATTTAGTGTAGTTAATTAATCAGAAGTAGATGTTTTTCTGGAACTCCCTTGCTTTCTCCATAATCCAGAAAATGTTGGCAATTTGGCCTCTAGTTCCTCTGCCTCTTTGAAAACATCCTGATCTTCTGGTAATTCTCAGTTCCCAAACTGCGGAAGCCCAGTTTGCACAATCTTAAGGATAACCTTGATAACATGTGAAATGAGAGTAATTGTCCAGTAATTTGAACATTTCTTGGCATTGCCCCTCTCTAGGGTTGGGATGTAAACTGATCTTTTCCAATCCAGTGGCCTTTGTTGTGTTTTCCAAATTTGTTGGCATACTGACTGCAGAATTTTAATAGCATCATCTTTAGGAGTTTTCAGTAGTTCACCTCGAATTCCATCACCTCCACCTCCTTATTGTTAGCAATGCTTCCTAAGGCCCACTCGACTTTGTTTTGGACTGTAGGTCAGTAACCCCACAATTGTGATTATCCTTGATATTAAGATCCATCTTTTATAGTTCTTTTGTGTATTCTTGCCAGCTCTTCTTAATTTCTTCTGCTTCTGTTAAATTCCTATCATTTTTGTCATTTATCATACCTCTTTTCAAATGAAACCTTCCCTTGATATCTCTAATTTTCTTGAAGAAATCTCTTGTCTTTCTCATTCTACTGTTTTCTTCTATTTCTTTGCATTGCTCATTTAAGAAAACCTTCTTATGTCTTGCTATCCTCTGGAATTCTGTATTCAGTTGGGTATCTCTCTCCCTTTCTACTTCACCTTTCATTTTCCTTCTTTCCTCAGTTATTTGTAAATCCTCATCAGACAGCCATTTTGCTTTCTTGCTCTTCTTTTTCTTTTGGAATGTTTTTTTTGTTGTTGATGCCTCCTGTACAACATTGCAAACCGCTGCCCACAATTCTTCAGGCATTTTATCTACCAGACCTAATCCCTTAAATCCATTTATCACTTCTACTTCATATTCAGCTACCAGAGTTGGTCATACTCTTGATCTTACTATGATCCACAAGTGTTTCACTTCCATATTCATAAAACTCCCTTATCTGATAATCATCTTTTATCATTCCATCTTTTCCTCTGCATTATTGCCCTTAACCCTATTCTTTATACTCACTATGACCTCCAAACCCTCTATCCTTAGGTTCTTTCCCAGGCAATGGTCCCTCTGATGGCTACACATTCCTTTTCCCATCCTGACCTCCTAGTGAACCAGTTCAACTCCAAACTATCCTCTATTAAACTATCCTTGAACCCCTTGCCTCTTTATTCTATCACCAATATTGTCCTACCAAGCCCCAGTCTTGGATTACTCCAATCATCCACTGCCTTTGCTCCAATTCACATGCTGTTGAACAAAGGTAGAGAAAATTGTGAAACTATGCCAACTAGGTCCACACAGTGGACTGGCACATAGTATGCACTTGAAAATGTTTATTGGTTGACTACTGATTGATGTTACATAATCTCAAATGGGCCCTCACTGCAGCAAGGTAATCCCTTCATACACTCCTAATCAATTCATTATCACACTTACCAAAGGGGCTTTTCCAAAGCTTTTCAGCCCTTTTCAAAGCTCTTATGGCTCTCCCTTCCTCCACTCTCTCAGCTGAGAACCCTGCCTCATATTTCACTGAAACAGTTGAGGTCATTCCCCAAAAGCTCCCTCTTCTCCCCTCCACCTCATACTGAAACATTCAAGTTTCTTCCCACACTATCTCTTCCTTCACCTCTGCCTCAGATAAAGAAGTGGCCCTTCAGCTTGCCAAGGATAATCCCTCTTCATACACAAGTGATTCCCATTCCATCCTCTCTTCTCCAGCTGACTATCCCTATCAACCCTTCTCTCTTCACAAATCTTCAATTTCTCTTTGTCTACTGGCTTCTTCCTCATTACCTACAAATATGCCCATATCTCTCCCATCTTCAAAAAAATCCCTCCTTTGATCCATTCATCCCTACTAATTACTTCCCATCTATTTCCACTCTTTTTTGGCTAAACTCCTTGAGAAGACCATCTTGCCTTGAAAGTCTCTATTTCCTTTCTTCTCACTTTCTTCTTCTTAACTCTGCAATCTGGCTTCCAACTTCATCATTCAACTGAAAATATTGTCTCCAAAGTTAACAGTCATCTTTTAATTGCCAAATCCAATGGCCTTTTCTCAGTCCTTATCCTTCTTGACCTCTCAGAAGCCTCTAACATTATTGTTTAACACTATTAGGGCAATTAGAGGGTGTCATGGCACACAGTAAGCACTTAATAAACGCTTGTACATTGATACACAGTATACTCTCATCTTTATTTTCTCCTCGAGTTTGGTATTTACCTTGTCCTTTGCTCTGAACAACTGATGATCTGACTACACGCAACTGATTCTAAAATGATTATATATGAAACTAGTAATATCTTGTTTATAAAAATAAAATTTCATTTTAAATATTGTCATTAGGTGCTTGTTGGTGTTGAATGCCATATAATTTTTTTCTTAAAGTATTCATGATGTAAAAGTATGATGCTTATGAGTAGTACATAAGCTTTAACCACTTTCATATCTTGATCTCAACTGTATCATATTTTCCAACAGAGCTTCTACTGTTCTTCCTATGCCTACCTTTGCACGCAAGTTATTGAATATCAAAATAAAAGCTTTGGAGAAATGTTTAGAGAATTTTGTCAAGTTCTTCATAGCATCACTCTATTTCTTCATCAAAGATCTTTTAATTGCCAAATCCAATGGAATTTTTCTCAATCTTCATTCTTCTTAACCCCTCTGCAGCATTTGACAATATTGACTATACTTGCCTCTGAAATACTCCTTTCTCTCTGAATTTTTTTGACAATGCCCTCTCTGGGTTCTCTTCATGCCTCCCTGTCCATTCCTTCTTTGCATCATTCATATCACACCCCAACTGTGGGTATTCCGTAAAGCTCTGATCTAGCCCCTTTTCTATTTTCTCTCTGTATTCTATCACCTAGTTCCCATAGATTTAATTATCATCTCTATGCCAATGACTCTCAAATTCACATATCTAGCATGAGTCTTTCTCCTGAGCTCCAGTTAAGCCTCTCCAAAAGCTTACTGGATATTTCAAACTGGATGTCCCATAGATATCTCAAACTCAGAACATCCAAAAGTGAACTCATTTTTCCTCCAAAACCTACTCCTCTTCTGAACTTCCCTATTTCTATCATGGGTATCATCATCCTTCTCATTACCAAAATTTCAATTCTGGTCTTACGCTTGACTCTTCACTTTCACATATCCCATTCCTTGACATATCCACTCAATTGTCAATTTGTATTGCAATCTCTACCTCCACAACATCTCATATAACCATCTCCCTTCTCTCTACTCAAGAGGGCATTATACTAATTCAGGCACTCATCATCTCGTGCTTGGACTATTGAAGTAGTTTAACTGATGTCCCTACCTCAAGTCTCTCCTCTCTAATCCAGCCTACATACATCTGCCAAAGTAATTTTCCTAAAGTATAAGTATGACCATGTCACTCCCCTACTCAATCAATTCCAACTCCAATGGCTTCATATTCCTCAAGGATCAATTATAAACTCCTCTGTTTGGCTTTTAAAACCTCCTCAGACTGACTGGCCTCAACCTACCTTTCTCATATTATTATACATTTCTGCCCTTATCACACTGTATGGTCCAGCCAAACTGGTCTTCTTGCGATATTTCACAAATGACATTCCATTACCCATCTTCCCTCCTTTGCATCATGTCCCACATCCTTGGAAAGGACTCCATCTTCACCTCCACCTCTTAACATACTTGGTTTCCTTCAAAACTTTTCTCAAGCACCACTTTCTGCTTGAAGACTTTCCTGCCCCCTGTTAGCTGATAGTGCCCTACCCCACCAAAAACATTTACTCTGCATTTACCTTGCATATACTGTACATATACTTACTGATATATATATATATATATATATATGTATAGTCTCTCCAGATAGAACATATGTTCCTTGAGAGCAAAGATTGTTTCATTTTTGTCTTTGTATGCCCAGTATCTAGAAATACCTGGTACATGGCAAGAACTTTATGAATGTTTGCTGACTTATTATTCATTCATTGAATGTGACACTATCATCATGGGGATACGGCCCATTAGAACACCAACAACTAAAATCATGTTCAATGATAGACTAAGAACTATGACATTGCTAGCACTCTCTGCCTCCTTTTCTGCCACTAGTTCCCTGTGGAAGTAAAAGGAGCTGTGCAAAAATAACTTTTCCAATAAAATAGGAAGAACCACAAAAAGAAACAATCAAGTAACTGATTTACACACAATACTATATCACAGCTATCAGGTACCTCATTAGTTAATTAGCACCTTAATTTTCTGACCTGGAATGTCTTAGACTGTCCTTCTTGTTTTTTGCAGAGCACAGTGTACATTCACAACCCACTGCATGAGGTTTGGGTAAAGATACATCCTGTTTTAAAAGCATTGTAAGAATTTCATAGTTGTTACGATGAGCAGCTAAAATGACTGGAGCAACATCCATAGTTGTTGAATACTCTGGGTTCTGAATTCGCTCCATTAGTTTCTGAAAGATATTTATATCAATATTCAGAGGTTATAACTTACATCTTACAGAAAAAGTTTTTCCAAGAGAGTCAAGTGAGAAATATCTAGAGAAGAAGAAAATATCTAGAAACCTAAAGGATGTAATAAAGACAGTAAAAAATGATATCAACATCTCTTGTAACCATACAATTTTTGTAAAATTCATAGTTAGTTGCTCATTAACATATAACTGAAGCCAAAAACTTAACTTCAATCTGAATGGAACATAATTATGCCAGCAAGAAATTTTCAAAATAGCAAAGAGTTTCATAATTAGGTTTTTAAGGCAAAAAAAGGATATTTCTCAAAAAATACTATAAACAATGATTTTTAATACTTTCTATGATCTTATGGGAAAATACACTGCAGTGCAGGGATCCTAATGTAACAAAGCATATTCACAGAATCATATAATATAAGAGCTGAAAGAACTCATGACAACCAAATAAATCATTTAGGACTCAATCTCTTCATCTATAAAATAAGAGGATTGGACTCGATGACCTTTAATATAACATTAGGCTCCTAGATGTTAAGATTTTTATTTGTGAAATATGCTTATTAGAATATATACTAGTATTACAATATATTTGTTTATATGTAACATATATTAGATACGTTTAAGTATTATAATATGTAGGCATATATATGAGTATTATGATAAATTTTTCATGAAATAATGAGAACTTCCCACATAATACTGCCCTGACTAACATCATTTTTAATGACATTATCAATACATTATAACCAAACCCCAAAATAATGTTATCCTATCACTCATTTATAACAACATTATTCTGAACCAACTATCATCCATAACATCTTTTTTGCTTTTTTTTTTCCTGAAATAAATTAACAGTAGGCAAGGTATATTCATATTAAAAATCCTTTCCTACAAATTCTTTTTTCCTAGGAAAATGCTCTTTACAATTTTAGTGATATCAAAGCAAACTTAGAAAAAAAAAGAAATTGCATGAATAAATGAAATAACAAAAATGTGTAACATAAATGAATGGGGAAAATGACATATTTCTCCAACTCTCCAATCCCAGACATGGTGAAACCACAAAACCCAGATGGTGGGGTGGGAGAGGGGAGGGTTAGCACAATTTTCTACATATATGCCCTGTAGTCATCATTTCGCTATATTCCTGTCGTGGTTACACAAAAGCATGAATGCTAGTAGTGCCCAGGTGCCTGGTGAAAGGAAGAGGAAGTAAAGATTACAGGAGTATAAGAGTTTAACAAAAGACGTACATTTTCATGCAATAGTAGAATTCTGACAAAGCTCCCTTGGGAACTTTCCATTCCATTATTTAAAGTATTCCAATTAGTGTCCATTATAAAATTAAAAAGTTACATGACAGAAGGATATCTCTGTTATCTATACTGGTTTGGTTTTCATATCTTTACTGATGACAACAGAAAGAGCAGCACACTGTAACACATCACAAAGCAACAGTTCTTATTTAGTTTTAGAAATATGCTGTAAAACTGTCCTGGAGAATACTTTCACACCAAAAAAAAAAAAGCCCATCTATCTAAAAGCTCAAGTTTCTTACTTCATATTTTAAAATATGAACTATGAGGGCAGCTAGGTAGCACAATGGATAGAACACCGGCCCTGGAATCAGGAGGACCTGAGTTCAAATTCAGCCTTAGACATATAATATTTACTAGCTGTGTGACCTTGGGCAAGTCACTTAATTCCAAATGCCTCACAAAAAAAAATATGTATATATATATATGTATACATATACATATATATATACACATACATGTGTGTGTGTGTGAATTATGTGTATGAATTATTCATTGCATCTGTACTTGAAGGCCACTGCTCAAAAACACTACTTTCACTAGAAAAATGGAAAATCAACAAGTTTCAAGAAACTTAAAAAAGAAAGTACATAAAAATAGTAGTTGTTTCCTATCTAGGAATATCAGAGGCTAGCAGATAAACAAGCAAAAGGACAAAATATCTTTGTACTAATTCATACACAAGCAGATCAAGGACTGGAACACATTATGCTGAAACGCAATATCTTATCAGTATTTTTGCCTTTTACTGTAACTCAAAGTTGAAAAACAATTTTTAAATATAAGCTTTAATGGAAAGCTTTAATCATCAACTATAGAATTTTGCATCCATAGTCTTAGGAAACATTTTAACTACGTTTGACATCATCTATAGACTTTTAAAATCCATACTCTTCATAGAGTATGTTGAACTTGAGATGGGTCTTGAAAGAAGAGTTGTAATAGAAACAGGGCAGTACAGACAGTTAAGAGGAGGTAGAGTGGTGGCCTTTGAACACCTAAAGGACTATCATGTGAAAGAGAGAACAGATCTCTTGGGAATTGTTCCAAAGAAGAGAACCTGTATCTGTGGATAGAAGTTCTCAGGGAGGAACAGTTTGATTAGCTACTCAAGGAATAACAGAATGGGGTACCTTGAAAGTAATGAATTCCATCACTAGAAGTTTTTGAAAAGAGACTGGATGACTAATTTTCACAAATGTTGGAGAAAGGATTCCTTCCAAATCTAAAATTCTATGATTCTGCTGGAAATAATGGTGACAGTAGAATAATACCTCCACTATTTCACAGTCAATAAGCAGATCCCTGCAAGGAGCAAGCGTGGAGCATAAATTGGGGAGAGAAGAGTAGGGTCTGGAACTCAGCACTAAGAACACAGAACAGACTACCAAATTAGACTAAGAGTTAGGATACAGCTATCATAAAAAAGGAAAAAATATTAAAAGGAAGTGAGTAGTATAGGGATTTCTGAGCCTACAGGAGAAACTATCTTCCTATACCTTTCTAAGCCCCATCACTTATAATTCCCACTTAAGCTACAGATAGAGCCTGTGGCAAGATTTATATTCACTACTTTTTTGAATTATCCTAATTGTGAATAGAGATATTTCAGATATCAGGGGTAAAGGATCAGATTTCTCAGATCATACATGAAAAACAATCTATAGATAAGCTGCATGTTTAAGGTTGCTGTTTTTTTTTCACTGAAGACTGATACCATGAAACCAATAATTCTGGTACACATCCACAAATCTGAGGGCATCCCTCTCAGTTGAAAGATCAGCTCAGTCACTAAAAGGCCTAACCCGAGATGCTTCAAAGCACTAATGAACAACCTTGAAGGTATTTAACTTACACTAAGGGAGTTAGTTAGCATGATCAGAGAATCCATTTGAATATGATTCTTCAAGTCAAAAAAAGGTTTGAGGAAGAACAATAAATAGGTGCACATGGGCACGGGAGCTACTCTACTGATTCAGTTCTGATTTTAAAAATCTAAATTAAAAATATTTAAGAGTACTAACTACTATACTTGGTCTTGATGATCGTTTTGGTCGATGATTAAGTAGTATATCAACAGCTCCCACTACTTCAGAGTCGATAGCCACCAAAAGTGCATCTGTGGACTTTAAAAAAAAAAAGGTTAAAATGAAATTAGAAAATATAAAAAAGGTAAACTATTCCTTAGTTTCAGAACTGCAACTAGTTTAACTCTACTAATTTTTATTTTTTTATTTTTTTAACTCTACTAATTTTTAAAGACTGTATCACATATAGTAATAAAGAATATTAAAAATTTAAGACCTTATCAATAGTACATTTGCTTGCCTTAGCTTATTTCTGTGGACCACAACTTGTTACCACTTCTGTCTGCTTCAGTTCATGAGCTGATTAAGTAATTGATACTTAACTAATGGAGGCTATTCATTGTGAAATTGTGCTAACCCACACAGTACTGAAAGATGAAATTTTTTCAAGATCTTTACTTTTGACCTGGGGACCAAAAGAATCTTAAAAGTCCAATTCTAATATAAAAGAAATTGCCAGGAACTATTACTGAACATAAAATACTCTCTATTTAGTTTAATAAAAATGATCACTGATGCAGCCATGAGATGGAAAAAAAGTAAAATATATTCTCACCAAGGCAAAAACTCTCTATTCTTATTGATAAAATGTATATGCCTAAGTAAAGTGCTACTTTAAGTAGCTACTTTAAGTAAAATCTGACAATACAAAGCATAAATTACAAAGATTAGACTACTGGGACCATTAAAGATGGAAAGAGAAATAGGAGAACTTGAAAATTACTGTTTTCCAACTTATTCCCTAATATGACATTTAGTCTCACCTAGAACAAAAAGTGAGTAAGAAACTAGTAAAGTCTAGGGCCTTCCAATCACCATAGATTCAAAGATTATAGGCCATGCCAATACAATGTTAGGTAAATGAAAAAACAGAAGTGATAGGTCCAAGAGGAAAAACTTAAGCACAATAGTAGATTAACTTAACAAAATGTCCTACTAATATATAATATCTTTATATTTCTTTTGAAAATGTAATTTTTAAAGAGTTGTTCACTAGAATGGACAATTTAAACCCAATTACAGTGCTTTCTTTTGAGACTAAGATGGGAATACATCTTTTATATACTTATAATCACTCCATAAGCTTAGGAAACACCCACTAAATAAAATGAAGCTTTCCTCCATTTTGCCTTATGATTCAAAAGCAAGTAACACCTGGGCTAACTGAGGCCTGGACTAACTAATCGTTTTCTACCCTACAGAAAGAGTCAAAGCTAATCCCCACAGCACACTGAACTTGCTTAGATCCTTCCTATATCCTACAACACTATAAAAATTCCTGCTTGATACATCTGGCCTACTGCTGACAATTCTCAATGTTTCCCTCTCTGAGCTGACCTTTCAAGACAAAAAACTTTATAAAGCAGAGATGTCATATTCAAGAAAGGAACAAGAAGGCACTTTGCTGCTGTTATTTCTGGGCCTATGCTGCACAAGGCAAAATATTATCACACTATCATTCTGATGATTTTCGAACATTGCTTCCTTTTCAACTTCAACAATTACTACTTTAACAACTACCCAATGAACACCAGTCCAAATGCAAATTAGGAAAATGAACAACTAAAATTACATCCCACTTAAATGGCAATCACACAACCATAAATCTATTAACCTCAACCATTTGGAAGACAATCATAAATAGAGAAAAAAATAATCAGTTTGTTATCTTTTTTTTAAACAAAAAAGAAAATGGCAGTAAAAAAATAAAATTTATACATTTTATTCTCCCAAAAATGTGGATTCATATTCATTATTGATTGGAAATTGCGTGGAAAATTAAGTTCTGATTAAAATGAAGTCCTGACTGCTGCTGATGGACAATGGACCAGAAGCAAACATGGGAAGGAAGGCTGCTAGATGCTGACACACTGAGAAATGATACTTGAGAGTAAAAAGGATACATCAGAATGACAGCAGACTGAGGTCACTTAATGGAGGGACTAACATCTCAGTAACCCCAAAAGGATATCATTATATTAAAATACAACAGAGGAGGCTGCACAATAGAAATTACTGCATTTAATACAGCACAATAAATGATTGTATTTCATAGTTCTTAATTATGAACCTGATTCATCAAGGTTGTTTCAAATTTGCTTTAAAGTAAGCTAATTTCTATAAAAATGGAAATACAGGCCTAATCAACAAGATATATTCTGTTTAAGAGAGACAAGTACACAATACATTTAAGAATAATTTCCATAAGACAGCTAAATGTAAAAAGTTTAGATACCTAAGGGAGTAAGCTTAATTTCTATAGAAAACACTCTAGTATTAAATGTCAGATAAACGAAGCATTACTTTATTAATCACTTTGTGACAAGAGATATCTTCCTTCACGCAGTAATATTCCAAAAGGCTATATAAAGATTTAAATATGTAGATATACAACATTTTCCCACTAACTTTGTCTCCCACATTTCCCCATAAAGCAATCTTCTCATATCTGCTTTTATGTGTACATTCTATTGAAACAACCAAAGCCATTCTCTCCAACTCAAACTATCTCTACACTTATTCTTGCATTCTTTCCCCCACAAATATTCTTACTTCAAAGTTCACCTCACTCTTCACCTCTGCTACTAATCCCATTTCTCTCCTCCTCCCTAAAAGGTGCTCTTTTTTTTTCTAGAATTGTCTTCATTCTCAAGTTTCTCCTTCTTCACTGGTTCCTTTCTTCTACCTACCAACATGCCCAGGTTTTCTCTACCTTGAACAAAGACTTTCCTTAAGGCTCCTACTTTCTCTACCTTACTTCCTACTTATTTCTCCTTTTTTACTGTCAAATTTCTCAAAGGAGTAATATACACCTGCTACCTCCTTTTCCTAACTATCCATACATTTCTTAATAATAATTGGCATTTCACTAGCACTTTGAGGACTACACAGTACTTCACATACTCCTTAATATAATATTGATTTCCCTCTTTTATACTGTAACTATACTCTTGAAGATCACCAATCACCTTACTATCAAATCCAGTGGCCATTTCTCGGTTCTCATTCTCCTTGTTCTATCTACAACACTTGACAGTGTGAACCACTTTTTATTTCATGAAATTCTCTCCTTGGCATGGATGCTTGATTCTCCCCTTACCTCTTGATAACTTCTTTTCTGCATTTTTTGCTGTTTTGTCTTCCTTGTTTCGCCTTCCAAACATGGATGTTTTCTCCCAAATGGAGTCCTTAGCCCTGAGCTCCCTACAATCTCTCCAATGAAGATCTCATTCACTTATTCCTGTTCCAAACATCACTTCTATGTATATGACCCTCACATTTCTTATCTCTACCTCTGACCTTTTCCCCAGATCTAGCTCTGCAATCTCTGAATGCCTCGGATATCTCTACTTTGGTATCTCTCTGTTGTCTGAAACTCAAAATACCTAAAACCAAAGTAACATTCCCCCTTAAAACTGGCCCCCTTCTCCTAACTTTTGATTTATGTTAACAGTCCCATCATTGTCAAAGTCACCCAAGCTCAAAAGCTCCAAGCCATCTTTGACTTCTTCTCCCTCATTATCTCTTCCCTTCCTCCCCCTGCCCCACATATTCACCAAATCCTAGTGATTCTTGCTTCATAAAATCTATCACATCTCTTCTTTCCTTTAAATTCATAATACCAACATTATAGTTCAGGCCCTTATTACCTCAAACTTCAGTTACTAAACTATCCTACACAAATCCATCAGATTAATCTTCCTGACATATCATTATTTATCACATTCTCCTGCTCACAAAGCATCAATAGCTCCCAGTGCCTGAAGGATAAAATTTCAAACTCCTTGGGTTGGTATTTAAGATCTTCTAGAATTTGGCCCCAAATCATCTTGAAAGTATTATTTCCCACTACTCTCTAGTTCTAAACAGGTGGGTCTATACACTGTCTTAAAAGCACAACTTAAAATTTTTCTCTTCGCACATTTGTTCACCTCACACCTCTCAACTTATCTTCAAGGTGCAATTTGATTTCCATTTCCTTCATGAAGCCCTTCTTAACTATCCCAACTCATAATAGTTTCTTCATCATTTAAATTCCTGTTCATTTAACATTCACCAAATGTGCTCTTATATCTATATACCTTACATCCCAAATCATGTCCCTTATTGTAAGTTCCTTTAAGGCAGGAACTATGTCTTTTATTTCTTTTTAACATCCACTTATAATAGTGCGCTGAATATCTATCAACTGCTGAGATGAGTATGTGAGTTAAGTAGTATAAACATATACATATATATAAATACATGTGTAATATATACACAGATAAATGCAGTAAAATATCATTTTTTTTCCAGGAAATGTCCCACATAACTAAATTTTCCATATAACTGAATCTTATTCTTTAAAATTTTCTTTTATCTTAATCATTTTTCATGTAAACCTTTTCTGAAATCTATTCTACATTTCCTTGTCGTCTTAAATTTGTTATTGATGCTCAGTCTAACTCTGAGGTGACATATAATTTGCCCATAATCACGCAGCTAACATGTGTCTAAGGCAAGACTTGAACCCAAGTCTTCCTGAGTCTAAAGTTAGTCTTTCACGCACTATGCCAAGCTGCCTCTCATGTATGTATGTATGTATGTATGTATGTATGTATGTATGTATGTATATGTGTATGCATGCACACATATCACATTATATCATATATATTTGCAGACATACTTGTGAGGGTATACAGTAGTTAACTTACTCACATTTATATATATTATATAGATAGATACACTTAGGTCATATATGTATAATTCCCAGTCTTCCACTATTTTCTAATCAAATATTTTGTACCATTATACATAAAGCTAAGAGATATAATTATAACAAAATACTAAGACTGTTTTCATAAATGATAGATGTAAAACAATTACTTTATCATCAAGCACACACTTGCAGACAAATAATTCATCTGAAGCATTAAGTCTCATTCCAACCTAACTGAAACAGAGAAAACCAATAGATATTAATAAGTTATTCTGGACCACTAACTAAATTCTTCCAGGACTTGGTAAATATACATTGTCATGTCTGTCCTCCTACCTGAGCTGATTTGAAGACAAATGGAAAAGATCAAATTTTCTAGGAAAAGATCATTCACCTTGATCTGTGACCAAACACATAAGATTTCAGGCAAAAAGAAAAGAAAAGAAAAGAAAGTTTTATAAAAGTTAACATGAGAAAAATGGTCAAAATGAATACAGTTTCATAAGACAGTGATAAAATTTGCTATTACAACACTAAAATTGTTTTGGGATACAGAAAACTTTGTTCTCCTAATTCTTGAGAAACATTTATACCATTCTTGGGAAGAAATATACTACATTACTAAGTACCCTAGTAAAAACAAAAATAAGTTGCAGTCCATTAGCATATCAATCACCACATCATATGTAATACAACTGAGAAAAATTAAAAGGAAACTGGGAGAAGAGAAATCAAGCATAATATATACAGTTCCTATAAGGAAAGGCATTTTGTTTTAAGACTTATAAAAATGAATCAGAAAACAAAAGAAAGAAAACTAGAAAACCTAGAATATCCGAGTTATCTCAGTTATTAAATAAAGTCATTTAGCCTTGTACCTGACAACCGTAGTCCAAAAGAAGTTGTAGAATATCCAAGTTTTCGTTTTCAATTGTTATGGTAACGGCATTCCTCCCAAGCACATCTACGCAATTTATGTTCATGTCACCTGCACTGTTTTCCTCCAAGAGCTTTTTAACCATATAATAGTCACCTAAACAACCAATATACAAGCATGCTTTAATATCCATGGTACATTAAACAGTGAATGGCTATGAAAATAAATGTAGTTAATTATTTTACTGATTTGATATACTAAAAAAGTAAATTCATTTTATTTTCATTATAGAAAACCTATTAGAAATGCACAAAGAAAAATCTGAGTATTTTCTTGCTCAGAATAAATTACCATCTTGTTAAAAAAAAACCCCTATTGATGCAAACTATATGAAGCATAAAAACCAAGAAACTGAAAAGGCCAATTTCAATAAGTACAATATATTCACATACGGGTAAGAATTTAAAATGACGTTGGAAAGTTGGACTGCATTATTAATGTTATTGTATGAAGAATTTAATGCAGTATGACCAAAAGCACATATATACAAATAAGAAAAGTAAGATGGGGGTCCATAAGAAGAGAAGTGAAGAGAGCAAGAAAATTAATATAAAATATTAAGAGAAAAATGTAGTTTTGAAAAACAAGGGGAAAGGGTTAAAAAGCCGAAGGTAAAGAGGTCATCTTTCAAAACTGCTATCATAGATAGAAAACAGTTCAGAAAGCACTCAGTGGCATAAATTTAGTTAGTGGTTGTGTTAAACCCAGTTTTTAAACTAACCAAATGTTACTAATGACTAAAGGAAATATATAGTGGCTAGGATATGGGATGATGAGTGTTAGTATCTCAGAAGGTCACCTAAGCCAGCAAAGAGACAAATCTGACATAATCTGTACAGAATAATACAAACTCAGGACTCAAAAAAAACCTTCTAACTATTCTTATTATACACTTAACATTAACAAAAATAATCAAATGAACATGTAAACCAAGGGATGACAGTTTAACCAATCCATTATTAACCTTTAATGAGGCAGAATTAAATAAATTTAAAAATAAGCACTGAAAATAATTCTGCTGTATCTTCTTCCCAAGCTTGGCTTGGAATTCCATCATCCTTGGTCTTTTTATAGTTATTTCTTTTACTATAAATATATATATGTATATGTATGTATGTATAAATATATAGTACAGTATGTATACAATTCTGGTATTGCTAATTTCACTCTAAAACACCTCATAAAGTTTTTTTCATATTTTCTTGACATGTTTCATATTTATCTATAGCACAAAAATATTTCATTATATTAATATGGCATAATTTATTCAACCAGTGGTGTGCTGGTAAATGTTTAACTAGCTCTCCAAAAAGGCACAAAATATTTTAAAGTTTAATCTGCATCATTAACATTTTCTTTATCACCGTATTAAGCTTAGGCGATCAGCAAACCAGTAAATCAAGCCCTGTTGATTTCCAAAGTAAAAATGCTCACACTTGAAAATTTAAAAACTGGCTCTTGCAAACTCATAAGAGCTGGCTCCATTAGGCATTCTCTATTTTGAATAGCTTCCAGTTTTTTTATTACAAACAAAACAGGTATAAATATGCTTTTAGAGATAATATATAGAGATCAAGTTTTTTCCTAATATTCTTGGGGTAGAATCCTAGCAATACAGTTGATGGGCAGAAAGGCAAGTCAGTTTTTTGTTTATAACTACCTACTGCCATCTCTTAACACCCACCAAAAATACACAATAATGCCAATTTCTCACAACTCCACTAACATTGGATTTTATATTTTAAAATACATTTTTGTCATTCTATAGAATAAAGTAGTATCTTAATATTATCAATTTGCATTTCTATGATTAGTGAATTTTGGGCATCCTTTCAATTTTTATTTCCTCTTTTATAAACTGCCTAGTCCTTTGAACTTTTTTCCATTGGGAAATGTATTTTTATAAGTAGTTTCATAGAGGTCAGCTCCTTTTAGATTCTGGGTGTTGTCCAATATGTTTACTGCAAATATTTTTCTTAAATCTTTCTTTTCTTTTAAAGAAATTTCTTTCAAAAAAAAGCATTACTGTCTTTACATCACTTACTTCTGGGGGGAAAATTCTCCTCTTTCTCCAGGTCAAATTCTTCCCAGTCACAAATAAAATTAATTATACAAAAACATCCAATAAGGCCCCCAAATAAAAATGTATAATATATTTTGTCCAAGTAATGACCAAACTATCAGTGCCTTAAAAATGGAGGTATGATTCATTATCTACATTATCTCTTCCCTCTCTATTCATTGGTTTTTTCAATTACACAGAGTTAACTACCTTTTGGTGACATTTTCATTTCCATTTTTGTAGCTATTGTGTATATTATTCTTTTTACTTTATTTCACTTTTCATCAAGTCATATAAATCTTCACATGTTACTCTGAATTCCTCATTTTCATCATTTCATGGACTACAACAATATTCTATTACATGTGGTTGTGGAATAAACACCGACCTTCCACGGCAAATCAGACTGTTCAAAGTTTTAAATTAGATAACAAGCCTGTTAAGAGATAGTTTCTGCAAAACTGGTAGGGAAAAACATTAAACATATATTCCTTTGCTTCAAGTCTAATGGAGGGCAATTTTTTAAAATGGAAGTACTTAAGACAATTTGGCTTCTGTAATTCATTTACCATAGCTTTTTCAGTCATTCCCATTCCATTAAGAAATTGCTTTTCCTTTAGCAAAATCCTTTAATCTTTATATAATCAAACCCATTTATTGTGTATCTGCTGATTTCTTCTCTTTGAAGGCTGAAAATATCCCTATATTCTATAATTAAGACAAATATATTGCTCCTTTTGCTTCAGTATTTTATGACTATTTAAATTGCTGATTCGATTACAATTTATTGTAGATGATGCAAAGTATGCCTCCAAATACTTTTTTCCCAAAGAGCTATCCAATTTTCCCATTTTCAATTCAACAATGATTCTAATCCCCAATGGAAAAATTTTCCTTGGTGCTCTGTTTCTTTACCATTTCTCCTTGTTCTTAACAAATAACTTTCTATCCCAGGTGTGTAATACTTTCATGTGCTAGATACCTGGAGCCCTCAACCAAGGTCTGCCATATCCAACAGTGTTCTATGCTCTATAGAGGCCTCTTTCTCCATGTCCCATTCTCCATCTCCAATCAAAATGTTCTCACATTAACTAGGAAAGCTTGGAAAAATCAATTTATACTTAGGTGCCAATAATAGCAGCTTAGTGTGTCAGCATTCCAAGGAGTTATCTGAATTTTAACAAGGAACCAAGTTTTATTTCAACCCAAATAAATTAAACTCCAATGTAAATTCTTAAAGCATCAACAATAGGCTGAAATGAAAAGATTAGAGTCCTCAAACCCTGTAAATCACATTACAAAGGTGGCTTGCTTACTCTACTTACATTTAATACTGTTGCTGAGCCCAGTGATTTAATATATAGATTCCCCAGCAAACAGTTAAGAAAACTACAAAATAAATTTCTCACCTCCCTAAAACTCAGAGCTCACTTTCCAGATACTTTTCTCTTTAGGGAGAAAAAAAAGTGTCTGGTCTTTTTTTTTTTCCCATCACATTTACTTATTAGCTGGTTTAATGGCTTTTAAGCAAATTAGAAGACTTAGCAAGCCTTAAAGAGTGAATCTGGTTTCCTAAGAGTACAGTGAGATCTTTACTGACTATACTTAGCTGAAATGCCTCCCAAATAAAAACACTAACTTTGCACAAGGTTATAACAGACTTGGAAGGCATTTAAAACCAGAGTTCACTTAATTTAATAATTCAGCAAACATTTATTAAGTACCTATAATGTGTAATCTCCACTACTCCAAAGTTTTATCCTGGCCCAGAGGTGATCCTAGGTTATGAAGGTAGATCAAAAGCTCTAACGAGCCCTGCTATGCTAAAAAGGCTTCAAAAGTATAGGACTAGAAATGAATTTTGTGTCTGTTACCTGGAAAATAAGACTTCTAAATTCTGAAAAGCTCATCTTCAGAAAGTTAATCATCAGATTTGGGAACAGAAAACTTGGGCCCGAATTCCAACTCTGCTATTTACTACTACCCGCGCAATCTTGGCCACATCAACCTCTTCTTTAAAAATCAAGGAATTTAAAGACTATCTCATCTCTAAAGTCCCTTCTAGCTCTAAAAACCTAGTACCCTAAATATTTGTGCATACCACAGTACTAGGCACCAAGCGAACTATTTCAATGAATAAATAATCTCATACTTTGGTTACTCAATTCCTATATACCTTCTCTTCCTGTATGATCCTGATATTAATATAAATCCCCCAAAAGGTGCTATCCAAAGTATGGAAGGCTTCTGGTTTTTGTTTGTTTTTAAATATTTAATGCACAGCAATGCAGCATTTGGACTGTCTCATTTATCACCGCTAACTTTTACTACATGACCGGCCCCTCTCTTTCCTGCCACACAAAGAATTTCAAAGCTATAAACTACCTCAGGGGTCATTTAGTCCAAAACGTAGATAACACTTCATACAAGGATCCATTATATAACCTTCCCAAGGACTTTTGTAGCTGCAAGCCAACGGAAATTGTTAAAGCACAATTCCCAAATGTGATCCATCCTGGTCTCCCCCTTCTATTCAGATATGGAGCCAGCCTGCCACCAATTAGATATCCTTTTATTTGATACTGACATAGCAAACCTGGGTTTTTATGCCTCACCTAATGTTGGTACTCAGCAGATGATTCATCAAAGTAATTTCAATGAACAAAGATGGAAATATGTTCATGACATACAATCTTGCATACAGGATTTTTACCTTTTGTGAAAAAGACACTTAGTTTGAGGCAAAGTCTTTATAGTTGCATTTTATTCTACCAAGTCAAATGCTTTTTTTTAAAAACTCAAACAACAGACTCAGCATGATCTTTTATTCACCACACTGCATCAGTTATATGACTGTGGAGATGACACATTTTAGGAAACTATATGCAAAAGCCAGTCTGTTCCTTTTTCATGTTTTCATCAAGAATACCCTTGATATGTACATATGGCATTTTATAAGTTTATAGAAATAGAAAGCAGTGACATGGGCTGTTTCTGTCATTTGGTTCATAGAATCATACATTTAAAAATGGAA